TTCACTGAGAAGAAAGGAAATCTACAACACGAAATTAAAAGAGCAAGAGTATAATGAGAAAGGCAGTATTGAAAAATTAATCTTAAGAATTATAAATCGATGCACTAAATGATGCAGACAAAGTACTTTCACTCAAACAATCAAGTAAATCAAATGGGAGGAAATTTCAGCCATTGATCAAAATTTATTGCTTTGTTCGGAAGCCATTTTGATTTATGGTTACTTTGATACCGCGAAGCAAGTTTTCGCAGAAAAGAGGCTTGGATTATAGGAAACGGAAGTGGACAGACAAGCACAGGGGGATTATCATTCGGCCCTTTACGAGTAACAAGGGACTTAAATAAATTGCTCGGACTAGGCCTAGGGTTTATTGGATCCTGCACTTCAGTGCTATGGTTGTAGCATTTATTGAACCGGAGAAGCCGCTTGATAAATGGCGGTACGATAGGAGGATTATAACGTCAAAGTGAAATGAATATGGATGACGTGCTGCCTTACATTTTGATGACTCTATAATTATGAAAGTCACAGATGACCATGGGCCTACTTTTTGAACACTTAAAAAAATTCTGCACTATTGTGGCACTCTCTCTATCTCGCAGAACAAAAGACTTTATTAATATTCTTTATGCATGTAATTGGCATTTTCTGAATACTTCGGATCTTCTGGCAAAAGAATAAATGATTAGTATCAGTGCAAAAAATGATAGACTGAAAATGGCACAGTAACATTTTCTTAGATGTCCGGAATTCTTTTGTCGTCAATTCGAGACGCTTTATTTGAAGGTATAACAAAAATGATCTAAAAAATACATATATCTACATCAACTTATAGACAAGAATGTTGATCATAGATTTGCATTTAATTATCAATTATAAATATATATATCAGTTGATTGCCTCTACAAAGACTGACATCTCTGAAAGCATACATTATTCATGAAATTAGTACATTGTAACATAATACATTCGTGTATATGGTAAATATGGCAAGCCAAATCACAAAAATGAGCTAAATTATTCACAGTGATAAAAGGTTTATTAAACTATAGTTTACAGACTGTAAACTATAGTTGTTAATCTATATTTTACATCCGTAAACCATAGTTAACCCGATAATCTATCACAACCGTAAACTATACTTAACATATCATTTGCGATTGCAAAACATAGATTATCTGATAAATACAGTTTCACAATTTGTAAACTGTGGTTTACAACTTTTAACTATAGTTAACGATCTGATAAATATATTGTAAACTATATTATGAAATTAGTTTACATATAGTTAACAACCATAAAACGAATCGTTAACTATAGTTTACGGTTTGTAAACTATATATCATAAACCTATTATCAAAGTGAAACTAGGTTTAAAACATAGGTAAACATATCATTATTTAGTTAAAAACGATTGATATAATTAAGAAAAAAGATAAGAAAACTGCAAGAATAAACCATCATATCTGCAATATTTCCTCAGACCAACTTTCATCTTATTATATGCTGCGCTAATTTTATCATTTTGATATAGGGTATGATTTTTTATATAAAGTCTACTTTAACAATTTTATTATTTTTAATCACGAGGTATTGAACTATAAACATTGTAATATTTCACTACAACATGATGTTGCCAAACTTTTTGTATTTTGTACCTTGATTTTGAATCTTACTGCGCTCGAGAATGCAGCAAAATTGTTTAATTATTATCAAATAACTTTATCTCAGTCTTTACTACAAAATAAACAAGAGGAAATGTTTAATACTTTTTTTTTAAAGGTAGTTGAAATCATTTTGTATACATCGATGAATCAAATGCATGCATGCATGTTGGACATTTTAAGTCCATTTAGAAAAACGTTCTCATCTCTAAGCATTTAAAAACAAACAAACAAACAAACAAACATTAAATAAACAAACAAGGATAATTTGAAGTCAAGAAAATATGTATTGAAAATATCGATAAAAGAAAAAAAAATCAACAATAAACGGAAAACTTGAATAAGATTTTGAGTGATGGTTTATTAAAAAAAGATGTCAGCTCTATCTAGCAGTAAAAGAGCGATAACTCCATTTTAGCACTTCGCCGAAATGAAGTCAAAAATGGAAAACGTTTTGCAGATATCATATCCCGAATCAGAACAGGACACCACGATCGACCAGCAAGAAGTTGATTTTCGATATTATACGAAAAAGGGCCCGGGTGTGTTTTATAATGTTTGTTACATATTACATACTTAGGTAAGATACAGTACAAATCTACTTTGTAAAATCTTTGAATTTTGATTAGGGCTACGTACGTATGGGGATCTGCTACCAGATGTGAATTTTAATTAAAGCCAATCCAATGCAAAGTCAAGAGATGAAAAATATCGGAACCCAAATGAATACCTTGTCTCGTGGTGAAAAAATCTATTACTTAAGAAAGACCCATCACCAAATGTTTAGGCTAAGGGCAAAGTTCATCAGAAGTAGGTTAAATTCCAAGGTCAAGGGCAAAGGGTGAAAATTATTAATACCCATCTTCGCTAGCCAACGGTTTCTGAATAGCGTATCAGAAACCCGTGGCTAGCGAAGATGATTAATAACCAACGGAAGGTCTTGTTGCAAGGAATGCACCCGTGAAATTTAAAAGCTTATAAAATTAACCATTCCAAAGTACATGTAATGTTCAATGTTATTTTTTTTTTCAAAAGTACTCAGGCACTCAATTTTCAAAAGTTGTGGTCAAAGTTAAAGTTTGATAAAAATTTTGAAAAAAAAATACGTCTGTTAGGCTTTGGGATACATGTGCCTATCTCTTTATCAACAACTCTTCTTATAAAACTGAATGAAATCAATGAGCCTTTCATTGTTAAGTGAGAATTATTATTAGAAAAGTGCCATGGCGCACCTCCTTATTTCTCTTTTTGATCGGACAAATATTCCGGGTTTCCCAGAGCAAATCGTATTTCTTAGGAATTATATTTATTGAAGGGTACTCAACTCTGCCTCCTATACCACTGAGTAAAATTTATCGGTAATGATGTACACAGATTATCTATTACATAATGACATTGTGACCTCCTAGATATAGTTTAGTTTTCGACCTAACATATATTTTGGGTCTCCCAGAGCGAAACATGGAATATCATACTACCCGTCGAGGCCTCATCTACAGAGGTTTGTGAGCAAACGAACTCTGGCGGAAGTTTGCATGGAATATTTGTCTATTTGTAGCAGTTAAGTAAAAAAAAAGTTTTATAGAAGTGTAAATAATTATATAAAATTGAGTACTGAAAGTAGTTGGAACCTCCACTTCTAGAAATAGGGTTTTCGAGTTCGAAGAATTTTAGCCACCCCTTTCAAAAACGAAGCTTAGTGCCTGAAGCACCCTTATAATCAGAGTGTTCAAAATTGTTTATTCGAAGGCCATGTAATTTTGAAGGTTAGATAAATATGAAAAATTACAAAAGTACAATATAAAAAAAAAACATTATTTCGTAATAATCACAAGTACGATGTATGACAGGCTTGGGGCGAATTACATTGTAAAGAATGCATTACATTACCATTTCTTCAACAATTTGGGCATTAAATTACGATTACCATTACACTATTTTCTTAAAGTAATGCATTATATTACCATTACTTTAGTAAAGTAATGCATTACCATTATCATTAATTTTGGGGTTCTTTAAACTTAGAAATTTAAACCAAACTTTTCGGGGTTTTTTTCAAAGGTATGTATATCCACCCCCTTCGAAATTCAAAACTAAACATGATAAATAATAATTCAAATTTGATTTCAAGTTTTTGTATATATTACGTTGTCAATAACTTACATTCACAGAAAGTTCAAACTTTTAAATTGTCAGTTATACAACAGTTGTACAATATCCCCTTTTTGTTTAACTATTGATGTGATGAATCAATTTATGTTTTGGGGCACTTTAACCCCTAGCTGCCTAAATATCTAATAATAAAACATATATGCTATTTTGATTAGTACCTTATGAATAAAAATGAATTGACAAACTTTTTGAAAAAGTACACAGGATGTACATTTTGATATGCTATCATATAATTGATGTCTTCTATTTTCTTTGGTACAATGAAATTTTCCAGTACAAGCTAGACCAGCTTAATTATTAATGTTTTAGAAACACATTCAGGAGAAAGGGGGACTGGTAATTTGGTGCATTTCTCCAAACAATGCATTGTTTTAATTGTTACATAACCCAGAGGCGTAGTGTGTTTTGATGACACTCTAGTTATTCAAAAGGTGGCAATTATCTGTATACTGTACAATATTTATTGTAATATGTGATTTTTTTTAAAAATAGTTCTTTTAAAACTTTTTATATAATTCTTTGAAAACAATTCTTATCTGAAATAAGTTTGAAAAATAAAATGTAAGGAAAGTGTAGCAGTGTACAGACTTTTAACAGAATAAAAAGATACAGAAATTTTATTTAAATAGGTTAACTTTTAATTTGATTTTATCATCTGCAAAAAAAATTATAAAAAAAAATAAATGATAAAAAAAATAATAACTTAAGCAATAATTTCCCTTATCCATGTCCATATTAATTTCTTAAAATAGGTACATACAAAATAATGCCTTGTAATACTATGTAATGCCAGCATTACACTGGATTTTATGAAGTAATGCATTACCATTACCATTACATGTAATTCAAATTTTTGGGCATTACACATTACTAGCATTACCTTGAGTTCATGTAATGCATTGCAATGCATTACCATTACAATTAGCATTACCCCAAGCCTGATTTTTTTTTTTTTGTATGACAACTGGGCCAAAAAATTAACAGTTGCAGGACATTTTTGTTTTCTTTTTGTTGCTTTGTTTAGTTGTTCTTTATCAAAGAAAATTGACGGTACATGATCAATAAATAAAAAATACCCGCTCTAAAAAATAACGATCGGATTAGAGCGAGTCATCAATATGATGACGTCATAATAAGACACGTCATAATGTATTCAACGTCACAAAGGTTGCAAACCATTTCTGTCGGTAAGAAAACACTTGGAGTAATCTCTGCGACTGTAAATCAGCTATTATCTTAAAGTATGGAGATCTTGGGAGACACAACGATTGAACAGTGTCTGAAATCAAGTTTGTTAGATTATTTGACGAAAACAAAGACTGGAGCAATGACCGCAGTGGTAAGTTTCAACAAGAACTTATTATTTTTTGATAATTTTCTTGTTTTTTTTTTAGGATATTAATAAAGTTCTATATTATTTTACATTAATCAGTGGCTATGAAATGTCGAATCTATAATTACTCCCTTTCATTTACTTTCTAGAAACGAAACATTTTACAAACGGCAATATTTCTCTTTGGAAAAGAAACCACAGATAGATATGGATTTGTGTATTCCGAAAAGAAAGACGTTGCTGGTAAGACCAAATTCAAGTTTTTTTTTTCGATTTTCAAAAAGTTCTAAGGAAATTACAAACCCGTTGTATATACAGGTATCTGTTTTTATTACCAGTACAACAGAAGAGATTTCTCATCTTCTCCTACTTGTTCCTCGATGCCCTAAAGAAAAAGTCTATTTCGGACAAAGCTATTGCCATACACAACGGACTGTGGTCCCAACATTTACACCACCTGGCCAACTGTGGTAAGCTTAATTCATTGTGTTCATTCATTAATTCATTGTGTTGGTCATACCAGGTACTAACAACCAAATATTTTTTTACGTTGATACAGTATTTCATAAAGAATTTTTTTCTCCGTTAAACGTATTAATTGATACCGGTATCTTCCAATTCCGTTCAGAATAATCAGGTATATTTTTCATCAAAACTAATCAGATTTTTTCTTCAGGAAATGAGAAAGCAGCGAAACGCTATATAAGAATTTTGGAGGACAGGGAAGAAACTGTTTTCAATGTAAGTACCATCTCTGGAACACTTTCAATTTAGCGTAGGGCTCAGTGCATCTTAAACTTAATACTTGTTTCTTAATTGTTGATCCTAAATCCTTTACAATATCCCTCAGTTTACAGTTATTTATAACAAATTAATTTTATTATTACAGATTAAAAGACTGCAACAACAGCTTAAATCCGTAGACCCTGAGACGGGGATGGAAGAGGAGATACTTAAGTTCCGCTGTAGGAAATCGAACATGTTTGAGAGAATCGGGATGGCGCTGAGAAAACTGTTTTAAAATTTGAATGACTTTCAGGATTATCAATTGACGTTATAGCCTAATACATGTACCTCACCACCACCGCCATCATCTTCATTACCTCATCATTACCATAATCATCATTTCTTGTTGTTTCACACTGGTTTCATCGAAGAATCATTAATGTTCATTAAAATGCATCTCATGATCTGCTTTTAAGTTTTAACCATTCTTTCTTAAATTTGTAATTAAAATTAAAAGACATTATATATTTTTTAAAACTATCTACCACTGAAATTTCGGATCATTGTTAAGAATAAAACTCATTTATCACTTTTTACATGTATCCCTTGTTGTTTTCATTCCTACATGTGGTGAATAAACTTTTGTAATAACAGAAGGTATATATACTCTCAGTAATTCCTAAAGCTTTGTGCCAGTTATGGTATAAATTGCTCGGGGTCTGATGCTTAAAACCCTACACTCCTCCAGTATTTTTGAAAAGGTTCAAAATTATAGCCTGACACACAAGTTGAAAATATAAGATAATTAATTTTGTATAATTGATTACACGTAACGATATTGGTTATGCATTCAAAATGCTACCCCTCCTGCAGTTTTGGTATGATTTCCAAAATTACAACGATGGCACACAAGGTTTTTGCGTTTAAAGTGTCTGTATTTTTTTAAATTATGAAACTGCTTCATTTTGGCACACAAGCGCAATCGCAAAATATAAGATAACTCTTTAATTTTGTATAAAAAAAATTGATTACACGTAACAAAAAATATTGGTTATGCATTTTTTCAAAATGCATTACTGAGTTTCCATCTTAAATCTTTTATGCTTGAATACAGTCTTCAGAGTATATTTTCAGTAAAAGATCACAGTTTTGGTTTCATGTGCTTAATAAATATTTCCAGATTGAAAATTACAACGATGGCACACAAGGTTTTTAACAAAGGTTTAAAGAATCCATTGCCATCAGACCAAAACTGTAGAAGGAATGTATTTTTTTACAGTCATATTTTTAGTAACAATGGCAACACTGTTCATCAAAATCAAAAAACTGCTTCACTTGTGTTTATACCGCAAAATTGTAGGAGGAGTAGCATTTTAAAGGAATTTCACAGAAAATTCTATTTTTTGTAACCATGGCAACACCGTTCATCGAAATCAAAAACCGTCCCACAATCTTGGGACTTGTGTGCCAAATAATATTGAAATCAGACCAAAACTGTAGAAGGAGTAGGGTTTTAAAGGAATTTCATGGAAAATTCTATTTTTAGTAACATAAATCATGGAAAAAAAATCCCTATTTTATGTATCTTATGATATAAGTTATTATTATAGTATGGGGGTATTTTTATTTATGAAAATAAAGGTCAAAAACATCAACTGCCTGTGGTCAATATCCATTTTTGTAACCATGGCAAGTTCATCAAAGTCAAAACACCTATTTTAGTAGCATTACTTGTGTGCCAAGTTATTGAAATCCAAAATTGTAAATCTTTTATGCTATTTTTGAATGGCAACACTGTCTTCAAAAGTATACATATTTTCACGTGTGTAAAACTGAAATCACAGGTGTAGCATTTTAAAGGTATTTAGAAAATTCTATTTTTAGTGGCGTTTCATGTGCTTAATAAATACTTATCCAGATTGAATTTTTTTAATACAATAAAAAAAAATCAGTATTATTATTATTCATTTACATGGTTCTTTAATTAAGATTATAAATGAGAAAATTGTAAGTCATTTATTTGCAAAATAGTACTTAATATTTAGGGTATATAGTCTGTTTGAAGAGCGCGACATTCAACTTCGGACACGACATTGTCCAGACTTTTTACTGCCATTTCTAATTGAGATATCCAAAAAAGTGTTTAGCACTTGGTGGAATTTCTTTGCTTTATCACATTGTTTGATGTTGAACTCACAAACATTTCTATTTTTAATTAAAGATATGAAACCCTACAAGTCAGAATCCCATGGGAGAATGGTGGATTTTTTATAGTCCAATCTAGTATCCCACCTTTCTCCCATGGGAGAACAAGTGTCGAGATTGGATATTTTCTCCCATTAACATTTTTTCTCACACATTTTCTTTTAAAATGGGATAAATCCTACGGATATTGACAATTCAGTCTTTTCCCCCTTCATTGTTTAACAATGTATGAGAAAGAGAAAAAACGACCGCTGACGGAAAGACCCGAGACGATGCGATTGGAATATAAACTTTTGTTGTGAAAGTAGTAAGAAAATAAGCTACATGTAAGAACACTTGGTTAATTGTATTTAAGATATTATTTACAGAAAAATTATTCGAGATACAGCGCACTTTTTGTTGTGCAGTAAATATACACCTTTTTCAATGGGTGGCACTGTAGCTCTCTTGTCGTCCATCCCATTTTTTTTTCCAGACTAGCGAGCTACAGATCTGCAGCTAAATATTACACACCACTGCTTCATTAAAGTACATTCCATTGAAAACAATGTTTATCAGTGATTTCTCATTTTTTGGTTATTATGCATATACAGAACATTATTCCGGAACGTTCATATTTATTGCAATTGGTTTCTACATTTACTCCTTACTTACGAAAAATGGCGCTGACGAATAACGTCCGGTCGATAAAAGAAAAACTGAAATTTACAATGCATATGACTAATTAACTGATTGTCATGTACTGAATCACAGAAATTTCGAGACAAGTTTATTTTTTCTACAAGTATTCAACATTTTATCCATTTGGAGTGGACGGAATTATTTGAAAAGTAAGTATGAAAAGTTTTCAGTTTTGGTCATGATGTTGGGAGAATGGCCTTGGCATTGTGCCGATGTTGTTTACTAGAGAACGTAGTGAGGAGTAGTGGATACTATGTAAACAGATGATTATTTAACCAAATCTTATACAGACTGATTTAAAAGTAAGTTCAATGGAAAAATCATGAATCATATTTCATAATCTGTCATCTTTCATAATCTCTGTGTTCATAATATCTTTAGAATATTACAAAATATGTTTGTTTTCTTTTATCCTTTATTGAACTTTTTATTTACAATGACTGACCCTGTCCTTGATGAGTCACAGTTTAGATGTTTTTAAACCTATACCTGTAAACTTTTCACTGTCCAACTCATGGTCAGCTAGAAACTGAAACTGAAACTAAAATCTGTGTGTGTGTTTTTTTTTTTTTTTTTTTTTTTTTTTTTTAATAAATTATAACATAAATAGTAATAGACCTCTCCATGATAACTGCGGTACTACTCTTTTGCAGGGCAAAATGATAAATTTGGTAAAATATGACGTTAAAGTAATTGTTACATATGCGTCATTTAATTATGATTTTTATTATCTATCAACAAAAACTTTGCCAAACTTTATTAATTTGCCCAGCAAAAGAGTAGTACCACAGTTATCATGAAGGGGCTAATTGATAAAATGGTGGAAAATCCAAGTAGGATGAAAAGCAGGAAAGTCAAACCATTTCCTTTTTACTTGGAAGGTTAAGAATAACTGGAAATGTACAACATAAGTGAAAACACATTGATAATGGATATGAGTATGCCTCTTACCAAGTTATCATACAACTAAATCCAATACTTGACTGTATATGTTACTTTTTCTTAAGTACATATTTCCATCAAATAAAATGATTCTGAACAGTTATATATAAAAGATGACCAATCACTTCTTTATTAGGCTATTTTGAACAGTACGTAGTTTAATATGATTGTTATAATGTTTAAAAGGAAGTAAAAAATACACAGACTCAAACCTTTTTCGAACATGCCATTTGCGACCATCGTAAAAATTGTCAAAATATGTTGATTTGGGGGAATTTTACGAAAATCTTTATCAGAATGCTTTAAAATTCATCATATATGTATTGACTTTCTGGTGTGTATTATCAAGTTATTTCAAATATTTTCGTTTTGCAGAACAGCAAGATGATTAAAAAATTTATACATCCAATTAAGTTATTTATGTTCTTTAATTTTTGAGGGGATACATTATTATATGCAGTTAAGAAAAAAAGGTAACTTATTTGAAGTGGGCAAAAAGGCTTTTGAGTGACCTTAGATGATAGAAAATGGAGAGTCCTGAATACTGAAGTACAGGTAAACTTCGCTATCTCGACATCGGATATGTCGACAACCTGGGATATGTCGACGTCCGTTCGCGGTCCCGGCATTATTTACTATATAAATGATTTGCAAAAAAAATTAACATCTTCAGTATTTCACAGAAAAAAAGGTATAACTTATTTGCTCTACTTAACCTAATTGTTTGTGGGCAAAAGGGCTTTTGAGCAAAAATTCACACCTTTCACACCCATGACCATTAGAAATGATAGAAAATCTAATACGTTAATTAAAATTGTTTAATGTTCAGCTTGGGGAATATCATTGATAAATCTTCTCTATTCTGCATCAATGTAAAAACGTTTTTTATGTCGAAATCTAACAAAACTTAAAAAATTTATTTAAAAAAGTAACCGAATAACAATAAACAATATACACATTGAATTCAATTTAACTTAAAAATTGTGGTAAATGTAAATAATATAATAATGAAATGCCGTAATATGACTGCATATGTTGTTAAATGCGCAATTCCAATTAAATTTTGCTTTGAAAATAAAATGAAAATTAATGATGAATGATTATGAAATAGAAAAGAAGTGAAATGAAATAATTTTAGAAATTATACGCATTAATTTTTTTTAATTACCGTTGCAGATACAGAGCTAGTGGCACGCGGATCGAATGCTGGATGGAGAACGGTTTTTAGTAAAATCATAAGATTTCGATAAAAAAAGAAAGCATTTCATAAATAACATTTGTAAATAACTTATTACATTTTGTAATAGATATAGAGGGATAGCTGAAACAAACGAGCTAGAGTCTAATTGAAGACATGTAGGTAAGTCTGTTCATGTCTGTGGTTTTAGTATATTCGGATAGACATTTTCCGACTGTCCCGTCGATGTCGAGATAACGAAGTTTACCTGTATAACGGTCATCAAAAGAAATATAATAACGAAATGTTGAGATTTAATCCAGAAAAAAGAAGTTAATTACCTGATAAAGGTACCAGTAATATCTCACACATTTAAATTGAGGATGAGTTCTCTTCACTTGTTTATCTGGATATTTAGGAATAGGTCCAAGCAAGTTGTTTATGTTTAAGATCAGCATCTTGCTGTCCCAGTTTTCATTTGGAACTGGTTATTGAGGTTGTGTTATTTTTTAACATGTCAATTAGAATTCCACCCCAGAAAAGATGTTTGAGATTAGTGATATATATAAGATAATGAAGAGTTTTGTGATTATTATCAGCCTTTAACTTCAGTTTGGAATTGGGAAGGAATTAGTTTGTTGTACCTTTGGAAAAAAAGATAAAACTAAAATTTGATATGAAAATGGCTGTAATTTTTATGGTAAAAATAAATAATTTATTCTGATCATATTTCAAAAGAGACTTAACCAGAGATGAGAATATTTAATTTTAATTAATTTTATCATGTTTATGAAACCTATGATTTGTCCTTAACTCTTGTAGCTATGACCTAATGTATGAATTTATTACGATCAAATGTAACACAAGCAGTTGTCTTCTACAGTAAAACTGTTTTTTCTAAGTAACAGGCAATTTTGTTTCCATGCATTTTTCATGTATTTTAAATACATTGTTACTACGTGCAATTGCATTCAACTATAGATATGAGCAAAGAACTATAAATAGATGGGTATTGATTACACTCCATATAGCTTCCCATAGATACATTTAAATATTTGACAGAGGAAATAAAATTCAGGTAATGTTCTACAATATGGAAAGATTATTAATGGATTTTTTGTGTGTAGATTAACATTTGGACCCTGAAAAAGAAACTGCTATAACATGATAATTTAAGATTTTTTTTCTGTGTGTTATCTGTATAAGTATTGATTACGAGATCAGGAAGAACTGTTTTGCATGAGCAAATATTGACATTATAATGACACATAAAAAGATAATGTCGTACATGAAAAGGATATTAAGCTTTTAAAGGTAATTTTTACTACAGGTATTACGCATTGAAATAAAAAACTGTGATACCAATTTGATAAGAACAAATATTTTGATAGAATGAAAAAAAAAAAATTGTTTGTCTTTGTAATTGTGTTTTTGTTTTTAAGAATTGCTCTCATGCAGGATGTGACATTTTAGTTGAAACAAGTATTTCCCATTAAATGCAAGGATGTTATTACAGAAAATTGCAGGCATTTTATAATTTCTGAAGAGGCTGCTGATCATTACAGCACTGAAAAAAAAATATAAGTACAAAACATTGAAAACAGTCTGACATAGATACACATGTTTCTGATCATGAAACATGATTGAAGTGGGGAAAATATGATAAATATTTATCATGTCCATAATTGAAACTAATTTTCAAATTTTTTTTAGCATGTTTAAAAAGATTTTTATTTTTAACATTTTCATGTTTTTTTAATTTGAAGATCATAATTCATCATATTTATCTCAAGATTAAAAAATGGCAATTAATGAAACGATTCTTATTTATGAATTATAATTTTAGAAATGCCTTTTATGGTACATGTAATTATAAACTTTTAAAAGATTCCTTTATTTTTCTTCCTGGCAGAAACAAAAGACCTTACAATGGCAGTCACGCCGACAGGAAAAGGCACGTCCTACCAGTACGACTCTCAAGGTAGAATCTCCGTAATTGTTACCAAGTTCTTCCTTATATGTAGGAAATGCATTGTGGATTACGTCTGTTAACAGCAAAATTTTGTTAACTTGGTTAAGGAAACTTTTTGTTTCTTTCAGATTTTAGTTAAAAGATATTTTCTTTTGTTCATTCTTTTGAAAAAGGAAGAATAAAATTAAAGTTCTTCAGATACATTGAAAAAAAAATCTCTTTTCATTTTTTCGGTTAAGGAGAAATATGCTTTGTAATTGAAGAAAATTCTTTTGATTTCAGTGATTGTTATTCCTTTGAATGATTATGAAAATATATGATTTTAAGGCCCTTGATTTTAGTTAATTCTGAGTTGTGATGGTGTGATTGATATTTTTGGATAAAACTCTTGGAATTTTTTTTTTACTTAACTATAAACAAGCAAAACATTAAAACTATAAGATAGATCACACAAATGATTCCTCATTTTACGAAAGTTAAAAAATAAAAATCATAGTTTTCGAGTTGTATAGTATTCTAATTAATGCAATATAATTCACCAAATTAAAAAAAATCCCATTTCTACTGACTTTTGGTCATAATCTTTTTAGAAATGCTGTGCAACTTGATGTTTATTAACTGAATGTTAAAAAAAGATAAAAAGGCATAATTTACATAGCATTTTGAAAAGGTTTAGAAATCGTATTAACAAAATTGATTTTCAATGACTTTTTTCCTAACTTCATTAAATTTGATCGAACTGAATACCATACATAATTCATAAATAGCAATATAGTGTAGTCAATAAAATAAAGAAATTCTGAATCTTTGTTGAATTATATATACTGCTGTATTTTTTCTTCTCTTGTTGAAGTATTGATTAGAAATAGAAAATCAGAAAAAAAATATGCATGCCCTTTTCAATGTTTTATAAATACTGTACTACATGTATATATATTGATTTTAAGATAATGTTACACATAAACATGGTGAATGACTTCTTTCTTTATTAATTAAGACTTAAGAATGAAATCTAAGATCCTTAAACATGTGCTTAAAGTAATTTCATTGATTGTTGATAATTTTATGAAAGGATTTTTTTGCTGGAATGAATGTCTACAAGAAAATCTAGAAATTAAAAGGTGTCCAGATCGAGTTAACCATTGGGAATGGGAAAGTTACAGGGCAGGAGGTTCAAATAGGAGTAGATTAATACTTGACTCCAATTTTTGGGTTATTTTAATACTTCTTGATAAACTTACAGGTAGTTTTGACTGGAATGAATATCTGAAGGAGAATGATTGTATACCTGCTCCACAGTCTTGTTTCAAACAGGTAAGTTTGAAAGACACCTGGATAAGAGTTTGAAGAAAAAAGTTTGTATATAAACATTACCGTTTTCTTTGCCTTCAGTGCTTTCTTAACAACAGTAATAAGGTACTGGTTTTCTTTACAACTCTTGATGCACTTGTAAAATCTCAATGAAGCCCTATAAAAAAACTTATTTTACTTGATATTGGCAAATAAAAGTACTGTATAATCCCTATTATCCGCCCCTGCCCCTATAAGCACCCCCTAGGTCTATTTTCAATTATCAGAAAATAAGGGTCCCCTGTACAGTGATTAAAATCATCTAGAATCGTATCAAAAGTCTGCCAAAATTTGAACAAAGTGAAAATGTAACTTGTCTATTATCCAATTTCTCAGTGGAAAATGAATCATGTCGCATAAATTAAGTGGATTATCTTCACTTACACTAAAGTTCGACATTATTTTAGTTGTTCTTTAAAATTTTTGAAATATAAGAATGACATTAAATAATATAAAGAGAATACCAAAATAACTGCCCCCTTTTCGAAATTTTCTAAGCGCCTGGGGCGGTTAATAGGGATCATATGGTATGATGTTAATTTAGAACTCATCAAATGATTTGTTTTATAGTCTGTGGATCCACCAGTGAATGAATTCAAAATGAACCAGAAGATAGAGGCGGTGGACCCGCGGAATCTGACCTCGATCTGTGTGGCGACCGTGGTGGGGATGATCGGGCCGCGGATACGACTGAGGCTGGATGGGAGTGACAACACGAATGATTTCTGGAGGCTCGTAGATTCTTCTGATCTTCATCCTGTGGGATACTGTGAAAAGACAGGGAAACTTCTACAGCCTCCCCTAGGTAAATTCTTTTATCTGGATGGGTACTTGGAAAACAAATGAATCTATTATAAAGTCTTAGTTTCCTTAAGGTGTTTACTGAACAATTTTATAATGATAAAAAAAAATTTGTAAAGTGTCTAAGAAATTGTTATGAAATGGTAACATTATGTACTGTAGTATGTTAAATGAAAAGTTGTAAGATGCAGAATATTCACTGATTTAATTTTTCCCTTGCTATTACAATTTTAAGGAATTGTGAATGAAAAAAAATTACCGAAAAGAAAATTTTTAGTCTTTTACATGTAGCATTTCCGATGTCCCCACTCTTTCTCTCAACAGATTACAATGAAACTCGGTTGTAATACATTTCATTGTATATTATTAAGGTTTTTGCAAGAACCCAACACTGTGGCCATCATTTCTACAGAAGACATTACTAGGGGCTGAGAGAGCTCCAGAAAACTGCTTCAAGAAAGAGCCCTCCACCCCCAAAACAAATGACTTCAAAGTAGGCATGAAGCTAGAGGCAGTAGACAGGAAGAACCCACAGTTAATCTGCCCCGCCACAATCGGGGCGGTGAAAGGGGAGGAGGTCCACGTCACATTTGATGGATGGCGGGGGGCTTTTGATTACTGGACCAAGCGGGATTCCCGGGATCTGTTCCCAGTGGGATGGTGTTCTACGAGTGGCCATCCACTGCAACCTCCAGGGCAGAAAGGTGGGTCAGTGTAAATGACAAACATTTACTGAACTTTGGGATTCATGTTTCCCTCATGGACAGAAATAATGAGAAAAGTGATACATTGAATAAACATGCTTTGACTGGTATTGTTCAACAGAGTGATCTTGCTTGGATTAATTTTCCAATATTTGTTGAAGAAGAAGGTACAGTTTGGGCGTTATTGTGCCTTAAAATTTTAATGTTCTTGAAAAGTTATGAAACTGGCTTTAACAAGAGTTGAGTAGATAAATATGTTAAATCATTAAAGAATATGGTATGAAGGAGGACTGTTCTGAAAATATGTCATTAATTTGGTAATTTCTAAGTTTAATGCAGAAAAGCCTCAGAAAGAGCCTATAAATTTTCGTTTAAAGGGAAATAACTCGGAAGTGACTTTTTGAATTTTCAGCATTCTGTGCTTATTTTCCTTTAAAAAATAGTGTCTGCCACTGCCGCCAACTTCAATTTTTGGATATATATTATGTAAACTGCCTTGAAAAATTAAACATCTCAAAATCTTTTTGGGTTACACTGGCAGAATGTTTTCTGAAAGAAAATTTCACGGAAAATTGATGTCTTCTGGAACTTTTTTAAAAAATACAGGAAAATGCAGGAGTTAATGACGTCACAATTAGCATTGAGGAGGTCATATGAGAAAAACAATATGTGTATTCTTACTGCATAGAATTCCTATGAATCAGAAAAAATTGAATTTTAATTTCTAATATCACATTCTTATTTTAGAAAAATACAGGGATTAATTTGTTTTGAAACCGAACCTTGTTCTTTGCTGTGTAGTGAAGTATAGACTACAGAACTAGAAAACAGTTGAATCTTATATCAGTAGTATTGCAGAAATAATAGAATAGCCAAAAAAAAAATGAAAATACAGAAATCTGATATTACTTTTGAAGGGTCAAATTGCAACTTAAATTCTGAAGTCAAATCTAAAGGCAATGTTAAATAGATTTACACTGAACTTTACATGTAAATGTTATACAGGTACCCCACAGGTGAAGAGTAAATCCCGTGAGCCCTCAGTGTCCCAGTCCGCCCACTCCCCGGGGAATCAGAGCAGCACCTCCAAATCCTCCACCTCCTCCTCCGGTCCCACCAGTCCGAACCTCCCCCACGACAGATCTGTGTCCCCCCTCCAGGCCGAATTCCCCGTGGTCACTGTCACCGAGCCAGATACCAGCTCCTCCACCACAGCTACAGATAAAGGTCTGATATTGTCTCTATATGACTGAATTTTAACTGTTGTAGATAAAAAAAAATTGTGTCAATATTTTATTAGATATTTATTCGGTATTTATAAGTGAAAAAAAACATCCTGAATTTGGTTTTACTGCTGTATTATTGTACTTAAGAATGAGAAAATTTATAATCAGCTGATGGCTTTGGGTATTTATGCAAAAGTAAAGCTATTACAAAAATAAATGTAATTTACAGAATTAAAAACATGTTATTCCTCAGAAAACATTTGATGATCTTTCAATGTTTGTCCTCCTAAATGTTGTGTTTTTGGTCTAAACTGTTAAAGTGATGATATTTGCAAGTTTTCTATGGCATTTTCTTTCAGTGACAATATATGTGAATCACAACTGTAGCTGTGGTATCTTATTAAATCCAAGGAAGATAGAACAGCTTCCCAATCAGTTTGGCCCCGGTCCCTATCAGAAGGTTCTAAGGGAGGTCATCCAGGCATGTGTGGATTGTGCAAACCATGAAAAACAGGTCTACAACTTTATCCAGGATGGCAATGGCAAAATAGTCATTACAGGTGAAGTAAATTAATACTTGGAAAGTTTAATTTTTGTGAAAACAAGTTTTGAGAAGGTGAAATATATTTTGTTAACTATGCTCAGTGTTCAGCTTTGGGGCATTACATTAAGTTGTATAATACATTATTTCAAAATTTTTTAAGTTCACAAAATTCTTGTTCTTTGTCTAGATTTGAGCAAATTTTTCAAAAAGATTAGAAACAGGCAATACTTTTTCTTTAGCTTGTATCTTGTCATTGATATTTTTAGAAATCATAAGATTTGGGCCAGTAAAATCACAATTTTAGTTTTGTTAATCTTCCAGACATGAGTAGATTTTGAAAGCCCTGCAAATATTTGTGATTTGTTCAGTCTTCTTATTAATAGACAGAAATTGTCATATACAATATGTATAACCTATGTTGAATTTTCTTCCTATAATTCAGCAAACCAAGGCAATAAGACCCACACAAAGAGACTGCCCCCTATTGACAAGGTGTCGGACGTCTGGCGGTTTCTGGAGAAGTCCCTGGAGGAGCTGGGATGTTGTGAGAATCTCTTCTCTAGTCAGCCATTACATGGATACTGTGCCCAGTGTAACAAGGAGAAGAAGACAGGTAGTGATTTTAAGAGTAAGTGGCTTAAATTATTTAAATAGACTAAAAGAAGAAATTTTTTTTTACCAAAGTAGAATAATGCGAAATTCCTCAAATACTGACTGTGCACATGTGGGCCTAAAAGTTCTCAACAATTTGGATTTGCATTCTATTGCATTGCAAAAAATAAATATTGTTGGAACACTATAAGTGGCATGAAATTTCTCAAGATGAACAACATATACAATGTACTTAAAGTTTTAATTTAAGTGGTCCTGATTTATGGGGTAACACATTGCTTTAAAACACAGATTGATGAGCATAAATTTATAAGCCATTAATTGTTTTCTTGTGCATGCTATGAAGAACAAATATAAATAAAGTGTGGGAATAATAGGAGAATCAAGCCTTTATTATATCAGTTGTCTTTAATCAATTATTGCAGAGCCCCTTGAGTCAGAAGAATATGAAAACAGAACGTCCATCAACAGAGCTCTAAAGAGAAGGTGGTCCACAGACTCTGTAGAAAACCAGTCCCTGAAGGCTCAGCAAAAAATCAGGAGGTTCTCAGCTTATGATTCCGCCGAAGGTTAGTGTGTCTGTCTGTATGTCTGAGCAGTCAACAGAAGATAAAGTAGTTCTTGACTGGAGTATGCTGAGGGTTCTTATTTATGTTGTTAGGTGTGCTTATATCATCAATCAGCATCAGAAAAATTTAAGTTTGATTTCTTTGGGTTTGGAAGTTAATGTTGCTATTTGACATAGAGATGTATAACCATTTAATTAAGTGCTCGGGGAATTCTCATACAAACGGAAAAAAAAATGTATCACTGAAGATCTGTGCATCATTTCCTTGCAAATGTTATTCAGACTTATTAATAAAATCCAGTCTTCTGAGTGGGCTTGAAATTCCCTTTGCAAATGATAAACCGAATCAATTAGCATTATTTTTTCGCTTTCAGCGAGTTCTACTACAGACAGCCGGCCCCCTCGTAAGCTGTCCGCTGACCCCAATGACTGGACGATAGATGATGTTGTCCAGTATATCTCGGAAGTGGACTCCACTCTGGCTTCCCACTCAGAAGTGTTCAGGAAACATGTAGGTATTCTGTAATGAGTTACTGTAATTTTAGACATTCTTATGTATTGCTTTTTATTATGAAATAGTTGTGATGTAACTTTGCAAATTTGATTATTTAGAAACAAAAATTTTGGCTCAATTTATAAAATCTTTTCACACTTTTTATGTCATTTGAGTTGTTCAGATGACCTTCTGGTCTCTGTTTTTGTTAGTCGGCATTTGTAAACACTTGAACATTTTCAGGTTCTCTGAAGGGCTTAACCAATTTTATCCCATAGCATCAATTGGTGAACAAAAATTGTTAATCCCCCTTCCCCCAAATGTCTCTATATACGGAAAAATTACAAGTAAACAAAACTTTTATTGAATTTTCAGGAAATTGATGGAGGAGCCTTCATGCTGTTAAATAGTGACATGATGATGAAATATCTGGGATTGAAGCTGGGACCAGTTCTAAAACTCAGCAACATCATAGAAAAGCTGAAGGGAAAGAAGACTTCTCACTAGTCAAGAGTTCCAACACACACCAGAGAAAAGATCATCAGAAAGAAAAATTCCCACTAGTCCAAGATTCCAGGCCACCAGAAGATGTTCTGAAAAATGTGTACCATCATGATATGTAATTTGTGTTAAGTGTTCTCGAAAATATGTGACGTCATGACATGTAATTTGTGTAAAAGGTGTGACGTCATGATTTATAATTTGTGTAATACATGTATGTGTAATTTTCTGTGGTCATCTTTTTTTTGTTATATAAAATGAGGCATGTACAAACTGTATGTAATTTTGTGATAAAAACTGACAAAGAACAATTTGTTGTTCAAAGTATTCATTAGTTATACTAGTGTCTGTACATAAAAGCTTTTCATTTCATGTATTTATGCACATCCTTCATGTATCCATTATTTTGATTTGTGTAATGTAACATTATTACTGTTAATAAGAAAAAAATGACCAAACTAATACTTTACAATCAAATCTTAAAAAAAAAGCTGAAGTGTGAAATACATTTTTCAGATATTTTGAATATTAGTTTTGTTATTTGCAACCTTGAATTTTTTTTTCAGCTGTTTAATGCTTTTACAAGCATAAATAAAATATTGTTCTCAAATTTCTATGCATATTACTTCTAGAACAATCATGTTTTATGATACGTACATTATTGCATTTAAAATTTATTTTGCTAAAGTTTGATATCAGTGTAGTGTTATTTCCCCCCAATCATGCATTTCATTATTATCATCAAAGTCACTTGAACTTTTCATTGAGGATTCATTTTTATTGTTATTGTTAAGGTAATATATGATAGTGATGGTGAACAAAACTTGTTAATTGAACTTGTTAAGGTTTGTTTAATACCTAAAATGTGCACGTCTTTTTGACGCTTTATTGTTAAAACTTTGTTGTTAAATTCTGACAGTGCCCAGCTCTTTAGGTACTTTAAAAACACATTTAATGATCAAGTTTTTGTTATGTCCTGAAAAACAGTCCTTTATTATGCAGCAATTTTATTTTATAGAGTCATCATGCGTTTCAAATGCATAGTGACACAGTATTTTCCTTTGGAAGGTACATATGTGGTGCAATTTAATTTTGTTCAAAATTTGGACAGTTAAATGAATTTTTGAAAGGATGGTGTAAATAAATTGCTTTTTGTAAATATTGGTTATTTAAGTTAGTGATTTTTAATCTTCTGTCTTTTACTTAAATTATTGATGTACCATGGCTTGATGTACTTGTTCTACCAAGTGGAATGGAGGCTTTATTTTTTGGTATCTAATGTAGCTGATTTTTAGGTATTTAGTGGACAACTGAATAAAATGTTCTTGTTGAACAGAATTTCTTGCCCTTCCTATCTATTGCTTTGTAATTAATGCAAAGTTATCAACTGCAGAAGTCCTCTGATATTCATTGATTTTAATCCGAGGTTTCTTCTCGATATTGGATGAATGGATACCTTCATGTATATAAACTGTATACCAACATTGTACATAAAATGTACAATACTAGATTTTTTTTCTTTAGTTTCTTTTTTTTTCCATTCAGGGTTAATTACTTAGATTTAAAATGAGAAATTTTGCTGATGTCATTATATGCACATATTTAGCATAAGGATATTTGCAAGTCCTCTGTGTGTGGTAATTTAATTTATTATGTACGGGTAATGAGGGATATCTTTAATTTTGACTTTTTTTTTTTGGCAGTTTATGATGTATATTACTCACATAGTAAAAAAGTCTGTGGAAATTATTAGATGATAATAATTTCCAAATGTAAAATTAATACAAGTTTTATAAATAAACTTAGGTAATATAATATACATGTACATACATGAAAAACTGTACTTTGTTTATAAAGTATTTGAAACGATGATTATAATGCAAACTTGAAACAAGTAAATTGAAATTTTCGACCCTGAGTTATAGCTCTACTCTTTATCCAACACTTATTAATATGTACACCTGTATTTTTGAAGAAGAAGGAAAAAATATGAAATTGAAATTTGCTAAAATGTCATTCTTCTCTCTCTCTCTCTTTTGATAAAAATCTGACAGTGTGTTAATTTACTATATTGTTTTAAAATTTCATTAACATGTTATTCTGTTTTGATGAAAAACAATCATACATATGATTTTTATAGCTTTTTTGTGAGGGTTATATATCTCAAACTAGGAAACATCATTATTTGTATAACAATTAAGTGATCATTGAATCTTCAAGCATAAGAATGTTTATTATTCAGGGCTAAAAGCTTGCAGTTATAATATTTTGAAAAGAATATGTATTTGATTCTAAAATTTCCGTTTAAATTTTAAATCAAAGAATATGTTCATAAAAGAATTCAAAATGTATTTATCAATATTTAATAGTGTATTTAAAATTAACATGTTTTTGTATAGAGATACACAGAATTAACATGATAAGAAAAATTATTTAATATTCTAATATTTAAATTAATAATGAGACATTTCATATTATTTTCACAGGAAATTAGATGTACTTAATTTTCAAAAAAGGTTTGAAAAAAGGGAAAAAATCAATGATTCTATCCTGTACATTTTGAAGATCTGTTGTTAGGGACTTAGAAAATCCAATAAAATCAATGTGGTGCTGATATACTGTTGTCTTATTGATCTATACAGACATGCAATACTTAAAAGACAAAATTGCAAGTGATTTCTTGTTTTTGTTCTATTATATATGTTTTTTTTTTTTTTTTTTTTTTTACCTAGAAACATATGGAGATAACGAACAGTATTCAAGATCAAAAGTCCATAAAACAATACAAAATAGGAGCAGAGCAAACATGGACCTCTATAACATCAGAGTGGGATCAGGTGTGATGGAGGAGTGAACATCCCCTGCTGACCAGTCACAATGCCGTGTGCTCCTTGTCATGATCAGGAAATAACGGAAAAATCCGTCGTCAATTCAGTGTATAAATAATGGAGTAATAATATGAAAAACGTCAGTCAGCATTTGACTCGATAATAAATTGTATTTGCTGATAAGGTCATTGTATCAACCATAGAACCTACGAAATGATGACTTTAAACAAGACTGCTGATATTCTTGTTTCATCAACTTGTTTGTCAATAATTTACTTCGTTTTAGAAATTGTTCATATGTAGAGCATGGTCTTGCGTATCGAATAAACTGAGATATAAAAAACTTCGTATGCAGGTGATGAAGGTACATGTATATTGCTGCATAAGTAAGGGAAGTTGACGATAGAAAAGTTAAAGTCATCATAGACATCATAGAGTTTATCATAGAGCTGGTTGTTAAATTGCCATTAGTGTCTTTTTCAAGTAAAATATCCAAATATGAAACAGATGTGTCAGACTATATGGTATCTTTCATATCAAGGATATAACGTATCGACATAGGAATCGAAAATACCATTGTTAATTGACAATACGTCGTCGAGTATATTTTTGTAAAATTCCATGGTTAAATATTAGATATATTCTAAAACAAAAAAAGTGACAAATCATTGTCTCAGTAATTACAGTGAAACCTGTCTAATCCGACATGCACTGGGAGACAAATATATTCAGTGTTAAAAGCATGAAAAAAGTGGGACAAATCAGTGTGTCAGATTATTCAGGTGTCGGATTAGGCAGTTTTCACTGTAGTTATTGAATTGTAACTCTTCAGGGAAAGAAAATTGCAACAGACATGTTCCCAGAGAGCTAGAATTGAATCATGTTTTTGATATGACCCTTGAAGTATTTCTCGGAAATATGCGAATATTTTGCCATAAATTAGTGTACTTTTAAGGTATAGTGGGTCATCGCTCCATGATTTTTTAAACCAAAAAATGTATATTTTATTGCAGACTTTGGGATTATCTATAAAAAAAAAATGGAGCGAAGACCCACTCATATCAAAAAAAATAATTTTCAAGTATGAGAAAAGGATCGTTTCTGTTCTTTTTAATGTGTTATGCTTTTCCATAGGCATATATTTTCAGGTTTTGGGTTTTTTTTAATTGTAGAGGTTTCACATTTAGTATACTTTTGTATTAAATGAAATATCAAATAATTTTTTTTTATAATTGAGATTTAATTTTTCACTTCTTATCTGTCGATCCTATAGGCACTTCAACCGCCTTATCCCCCCCCCCACCTTCTGTAGGAATTCCTGAGAGTATGCCTTCTGTCATTACAAAAGATTATTTACCGCATGTAGGAATGAAAACAACAACATAAAAAGTGATAAATGAGTTTAATTCTTATCAATGGTCCCAAATCTCAATGGTAGATAATTTAAAACAAAATATATTGTCTTTTAATTCTAATTACAAAGAAAAAATGGTTAAAACTTAAAAGCAGATCATGGGATGCATTTAAATGAAAATGATTCTTCAATAAAACCAGTGTGAAAAAAAACAAAAAAATGATGATTATTGTAATAAGATGATGACGATGATGGCGGCGGTGGTGAGGTATGAGATTATGACGTCATATTTAATAGAATCCTTACAGTCATTTAAATTTTAAAACAGTTTTTTCAGCCCCATCCCGATTTTCTCAAACATGTTAGATTTCCTACATCGGAACTTAAGTTTCTTCTCTTCCATTCCTACAGATTTCAGCTTACGTTGAAGTCTTTTAATCTGTAATAATAAAATTGATTTGTTATGAATAACTGTGGATTGAGGGATATTGTAAAGGATTTAGGATTAACAAGAAACACGAATTAAGTTTATTGATGCACTGAGCCCGACTCTAAATTGAACGTGTTCCAGAGATGGTACTTACATTGAAAACAATTTCTTCTTTATCCTCCAATATTCTTATATAGCGTTTCACTGTTTTCTCATTTCCTGAAAAAGAAAAAAAAATCTTATTAGTATTGATGAAAATTACATACCTGATTTTTCTGAACGGAATTGGAAGATATCAATTAATACGTTTAAATAAAAAAAAATATACTGTATCAACATAAAAAAATATTTGGTTGTTAGTACCTGGTAAAACCAACACAATAAATTAAACTTACCACAGTTGGCCAGGTGCTGTAAATGTTGGGACCAAAGTCCGTTGTGAATGGCAATAGCTTTGTCCGAAATAGAGTTTTTCTTTAGGGCATCGAGGAACAAGTAGGAGAAGATGAGAAATCTCTTTTGTTGCACTGGTAATAAAAACAGATACCGGTATATACAACGGGTTTGTAATTTCCTTATGACTTTTTGAAAATTGAAAAAAAAAATCTTGAATTTATATTTATAAATAAATTTCATTGTCTTACCAGCAACGTCTTTATTTTTTGAATACACAAATCCAAATCCATCCGTGGTTTCTTTTCCAAAGAGAAATATTGCCGTTTGTAAAATATTTCGTCTCTAGAAAGTAAATGAAAAGGAATAATAGAATTGACATTTTATAGTCACTGATTTATGTAAAATAGTTTAGAACTTTATCAGTCCAGTCCAATACGAAAATTCGTAATATTACAAGTTATCGTAATATAAAACTAATATTACAATTTTTCGTAATGTAGTTAAATTACGAATACGCGTAATATAGCAGTTTGTAAGAGACTCTATTACGAGTTTTCGTAATCCAAGACAAATTCAAGCATTGCAAGAAATTGATAGCAAAGTTCAGTAATATATCAGATTCCACGGCTACTGATAGCACGCGGTCAGTTTGGTCAGTTACGCCTATCAGAAAGCATGGACATTAAAAAAAAAAGTACCGCCAGCGATGGGTTAGTGGACAATTTCTTTTATTATTCTTTTATAGGAATTTTCCCAAGGATAAGACCAATTTTCCAGTAAATTTCAATATTCGCTTAAGCATGTCGCATTGGTCTATATCACCCGAACTCCCTTCTTTTCTTGCGAAGTCTACCCTAAAAATCACACCCTCGTCTCATAATTCAACTGTTCGTGCAATTCTTATTGAAATACACAGAATTCAAATCTCAGTAAGAGTCGTACAAGTTATCGCTCGTGACATCTCGTATTAAACGTCATACTTTGCTACTCGCCACTCAATTTCTTGCAATGCTTGAAAAGGTAATATAGTCTCTTACATCTGAAATATTACGCGTATTGACGAAAAATTATAATATAAGTTTTATATTACGATAACTTGTAATATTATGTAATCTTAAAATAGAATTTTCGTAGAACTGTTTATTATTATCCTAAAAACACAATTATCAAAATTTATAGATAATGTTCTTGTTGAATTAAGCTTACCACTGAGGTCATTGTTTCAGTCTTTGTTTTCGTCAAATAATCCAACAAACTTGATTGCAGACACTGTTCAATCGTTGTGTCTCCCAGTATCTCCATATTTTAAGATAATTGTTGTTTTACAGTCACAGATTAATCCAAATGTTTTCCTGGCCGATAGTAATGGTTCGCAACCTTTGTGACGTTTATGTTTTATGACGTGTCTTATTATGACGTCACCACATTGCTGAATCGGTCTAACCCGATCGTTATTTTTTTTAGAGCGGGTATTCTTTACAGATCATGTACTGTCAATTTTCTTAGAAAAAGAACAAATAAACAAACGAACGAAAACAAAACAATAATGTCCTGCCAACGTTAATTTTTTGCCCAGTTGTCATACATCATACTTGTGATAATTAATCTGTGCAAGTATTGTAGTGTAATACCCATTTGAAATATATAGATGTAAAATTAACCCATTATGTCACAGATTTGATTTACGACAAAAGTTTATCACAAACTTCTAGCATAGTTATTTTTATTATATATATATTGTATGTACTCGTATTTCCCTGCATGAAGCATGGTATCCTTAACTCCTAGCTCCAATTATTTTATTTTTCTTTCAACAGTTCCAGACTTCCAAACCCCCAGATTGTATAATTAAACAAGCGAATCATTGGTTATATTTCTTGAGATGAAATCTCAAATGTGCTTTTCAGACCACCCTTTGTGCCAATCTCCTATGGAGAGTTGTCGTTCGTTCCTCTCTCAGACACCTCTGCAATGGGCTCATGTCAAGATTTTTTACATAACGTATAAAAATTAATGTTTGCAGGATTGTTTCAAATTAAATTAATAGTTCTGGTTTAATTTAGTAAATATTTATCTGAAAAGTCAGACATAAACATATTAATTGAATTATAATGAAATTAAACAAACGCACTATTTCTCGTGTTTATCACTGTGATATACGCGAGCCAAAGACAGAGGTGAATGTATGAGCCAATGGTAGAGAGTGCTTTTGTGCATCCGTCTGTGTGTCCGTCCATATGTAAACTTTTCACATTTTCAACTTCTTCTCAAGAACCAATGAGCCAATTTCAACTAACCTTATTTAAAAGCACCCTTAAGTAAAGGGGAATTGAAATTTAATTATAAAAATGACTCCTTGTTTAATTATCAAAAGATCCAAAATAGGCTTGATCGCGAAAAATTAGCGAACTATTCATTCCATCATACTTTTTGTAACATGTAAAGAAGAATTTAAGAATTTGAAGGATTGAAATAAAATATTTTTAAAAAATTCAACTGGGTCGTATGATAATAATATGGAAGGAAAGTTTCAATGACTAAATATGTTTTAGGTCAATCCATTTATTAACAATGTTAAAAATGTTTTTACACACACAAAAAAAAACTATAGATAATATAATTATGCATACATATTAAAAGAAAGATTTACAACAAGGAAGGCAGACAGAGTTCGCTATTGGTTTTTAACGAAGAATGGCGTGACAACATTACGCGCAATATCATTGGCCAAGATAATCAGCAGACCTCACAATCCTATATGTGGAAAGATCTGTTGAATGTATCAGTATTTACAATGTAACAATGCATTATAAAACTATTAGTTACATCTTCATATATCATATTTGTCTTGAGGTAAATCATAACAATAGAAATTAGTGGTCATGAACTTGTTATAATTTTTTGTTTGTCTATGAGAATTACTTGTCTTTAAATGTATATATACCGTAAAAAGTGCATGTCTCTGGAAAAAAAAAACATTCATTCAATTTCGACAAAGTTATGGCGAAACAGAAAATTGAGAAATAATTTTTTAAATCTCAAAAAGCAGAAGAATGGTTTAGAAGGGAAATCAGAATGAAATATGAAGATAATGAGAAATAATCAAGCTCATTAGTCCATTGAAACAATACATAACGGACCACTAAAATAAGATGTGAGTTCAAGTACTAGTTCAAGTTCAAGTTCAGTTTATTCACCCAGACCAATCTATTGGTACATGGGGTATTGTGCATAAATAACATATATACATTATATATAATATAAACAGTCTGGTCAGAGGTACATACACAATATAGAAAACATAACAAAAGATTAATGGTAGAAAAAAAGAGTGGGGAAACATATCAAGGAGGACAGACAGCAGCATAGATTTTTTGGATAAATATACAAAGTTTTTTCATCACTTTTTCGTTTGAGGTTGACATAATTTCCATGAATTTAATAACATTCGGTCTAGAAGAATAATAATTGCCCAGGTAATTCTTTCTCACATTAGATAAAGTTTTACATTCTAAAATATAATGAAATTCATCTGCAATTTGATTGTTTTTACAAAGTGTACATATTCTATCGCACAGTGGTAAACCTTGCCATCTTCCTGTCTCTATCGGTAAATGGTGATTTGTGGTACGAAATTTCATAAATATTACTCTAAATTTAGGAGATAACTTATTAATATAATTTTCAAATCCAAAATTTTGTTTAAAGATTCTGTAAGTTTGTCCTTTTGAAGAATTATTAACGTCACTAGACCACTTTTGAATAAATTGATCTTGTAATATTTGTTTTACGGTAGCAGTTATCCATTTATAATTCATATTGGCACTCTGTTCGTACCATACATTTGGTAAACCACATATATTACATATTTTCTGTATACAATCTAACCATGGGTTTGTTAAATTTCCATCACAGTACAATTTAAACATATGTTTGTATAAAACATTTACAATTTTAGTTTGTGGGCCTGAAAAAAGCTTTGCCCAAAATGAAATCATTCTACAGTATACCGAGATGTACAGAGGAAAGCGACCTGTTTCACCATAGACCATGTACGATGGCGTGGAACTTTTCAAATTAAATACATGCTTTAAAAACTTCAAGTGTAAACGTTCTACAATATCAAGGTTTTCGTAGCCCCATACTTCAGAGCCATATACATGTAGTAAGACTGGTACTACAACTCTATCAAAAAGATCAAATTGACAGTCAACTGGTAATTTGAATTGTCTAATTTTTCTTATAATTCCATACTATAGTAAAGTAAAGTTACTATAGTTAACCATAGTAAATTAAAGTTCAAAAGTAGATAATTTCACTTTAGTAAATCAAAGTTCCAAGGTTTCACTAATAGTAAATCAAAGTCTCAAAGTTTTTACTGTAGTAAATCAAAGTTTCTACTATAATAGTTAATCAAACTTTCAAAACGTTTTTCATTAGTTTAACAACTTTTGTAGGTTTTTAAGTTATTTTGGTTATTTAACTGTTTTAAGGGGGTCGATCTGGGGTTGGGTGGAGCTGTTTTTTTTTATTTTACGAGGGTTGATCCAAAAGTTCGTGGAATTTCTTCATATTCTATTTATTATTTAGTGGAATTAGTTGAAAATTACAAATAGAAATAAAGACACTTGATGAATATTTAAAATAAAAAAAAAAAACATTTTAAATATCTTTGATAGTAACTTTATGGCAGATGCCATAGAAACGGTTGTTTGGAAATGCGGGGGAGACATTAACGCGTTTATTATCATTTTAATTCTTAATACGTGAAATGAGAATGAAACTGCCCAATGTGGTAAATAAAAACAAAATTATTTCATTATTACGATTTCTTGATCTTTTATAAACCTTTCTGTGAGAGTTTTACTGATTTTACTGGATATTTAGTTTATAATTAAGTTGATTTATTGTTCATCATTTTAATTCTTAATACGTGAAATGAGAATGAAACTGCCCGATGTGGTAAATAAAAACAAAATTATTTCATTATTACGATTTCTTGATCTTTTATAAACCTTTCTGTGAGAGTTTTACTGATTTTACTGGATATTTAGTTTATAATTAAGTTGATTTATTGTTCATCTTTAAGTTGTTAAACAACGTCAAATTTTGGCTGAGTCATATGTTTTGTGAAAATCTCGGGATCACTCTATCTGAAACGCGTATATTATTGACATAGGCTTGGGTAAATGCATTTAGTTACTGTTAGCGGCATAAGGATTTTTAGAAAAAATAGAACTTCCACGGACGTTGATCAAAGGTGTGGCGGCTTTTTGGAGGCTCTGCTTTGAGTGCCTATTCCCATTGACAAAATGAAATTACAAGCGTTAATGTACGTTGTCGGCTGACGTACTTTTCTTGACACTGCTACTGAAATTGGAACATCATATTGAAAAATATGAGTGAAAAAGAAGATAAGATGATGCGAGAGGATACCCAGGCTTTATTTGAGAAAAAAATAGAGAAAAAGGCAGCATTTTATAGAATTACGTATTCCAATCGGACATAAGGGTGAGATGCTTTTATTTCGTGACAAGACATATCTTACTTGACGTTACGTCGAAATCTCCCCCGGGTTTCACAACTTTCCATTTTCAGAAAGCTCGTGTGACATTATTAATAATTTGAAAGAGGTGAAATTTTCCAATATTGTTGCATTATGACTCTATATAATGAATATGCCTGTTGTTTGCTTTCATTGAATCACGATAAAATTTTAGAAAGAAATTCCACGAACTTTTAGATCAACCCTCGTACATCTCTAAAGTAATTAATTTAAATGCAATATTTACATTAAAAATAAAAAAAAATCATGTTGACTGAAGTTGATAAAGCAAATATATTCATTCTAAATAATGCCAATTTTGTTTTATAGTATTTCCTCCTCTTCAAATATAAGACTTACATCTGCGTAGCATCAAAATTAATTAGTTTTAAATAAATATTGCTTTTTTATCGGCGCAAGAGACAATCTTTACATTAAAATTCATTTCTTTTACATTATTCTTTTTGTGCACGGGTCAGGTTTAACAAAGTTCTCTGAAACCTTAATGAATTTTAACTTTGAAGTATCATAAAATGTACAGTATGGGAATTAAAAAACATAATTTCACTGGTTTTATAGTACTTAATCAAAAATTCAAAGATTAGAAAATCAAAGTTCCAAAGTTTTCGCCATAGTAAATCAAAATTCCAAACTTTTCACTTTATAGTATATTAAAGTTCCAAAGATTTCACAAAAGTAAATAAAAGATCAAAAGTTTTTACTTTGTTACTATGGTTAACTATGAACCATATGGAGATA